CTGAAGAGGCTAGGTTGTGGGGCACTGATTTTGTCTGTGATACTATGAAAACACTTAACGTAATTCAGGAACGACTTCGTAGAGGTCAATCTAGACAGAAGAGTTATGTAGAATGGAAGGTTTGAGATGTAGCTTATATGGTGGGTGAGAAGGTTCTCCTTAGAGTGTCGCCTATGAAGGGCATGATGCGATTTGGGAAGAAGGGAAAGTTGAGCCCGAGGTTTATTGGGGCAATTGAGATCTTAGATAGCGTTGGGGAGGTTACTTACATGCTTGCATTGTCTCCTAGCCTATCAGGGGTACATTCGGTATTCCATGTTTCCATGCTTCGGAAGTACCACGAGGACAACTCGCATGTTTTGGACTTCAACACATTTCAGCTTGATATGAATTTAGCCTATGAGGAGGAGTCGGTGGCTATTCTAGCCCGGCAGGTTTGAAAGTTGAGATCTAGGAGTTTTCCATCTATAAAGTGCAATAGAGAGGTCAGCCAATCGAGGTAGCTACGCGGGAGTACGAGTCCAATATGCAAAGTAGATACCCACACCTTTTCACTAGTGCAGGTACTTTCCTATATATGTTCGAGGATGAATGTTTCTTTTGGAGGTGGAGAATATGATGACCCGAGAGGCTGTTTTGATTACTAGACCTTATTTCTATTTTTCGAGACCTTTATTAGCTTCATTTGATGTTTCTTGATTTGCGTGCGCAGTCCGTGACTTTTTTTCCGAAAAGTTTTTACGTAAAAGTTTGAAGAAAAATGATTTTTGACTTTAAAAATAACTTGAGTTGACTACGGTCAATATTTTATGTAAACAACCCCGGATCAGTGTTTTGACAATTCCGGTAGGTTGGTATAGTGATTTTGGACATGGGTGTATGCCCAAAATTGAATTCGGAGATCCCTAGGTTGATTTGGCTTATTTTGTAAAAAATTTACAATTTGAATGTTTGGAAATTGCCTAGTTTGACCGTAGGTTGACTTTACGGCTATCGGGTTTGGATTTTAGCTTTGAAACTTAGAATAGGTCAGTTTTGCTATTTAAAATGTGTCTGCAAAGTTTGGTGCAAATCAGAGTTGATTTGATAGGATTAGGACGCTTAGTTGTACTTCTAGATGTTCTTTAGTTTTCCTTTGAAATTCCATTCATTTTGATGTTCGCTTTGTAGTTTAGATATTATTTTGGCATTTTTATCGTGCGAGCGAGTTTATATGATGTTACTACACATGTGTTCATATTTGGTTTGGAGTCAGAGGGGCTCGGGTGAGCTTCAGACGCTTTTCGGTTTTGATAGTTTGAGAACTGTCGGTACACGCTGTGTTTGGTGTTTCTGGTGCTGGTATGCAAATGTTTCATTTTCGAGATATGGCTCCCAAATACGAGCCTCGCTGTTGCAATCAAGACATCGCATTTGCGAGCAGGGGCCTGGGCTGGGTAATCTCGCAATTGCGAGGAAAAGGTTCGCATTTGCAAACTAGCTAAGACAGCATTTGCGATCTCAGAGTCGCATTTGCGACGTAGAGTTCTGAGGGGTGAGCTTCGCATTTGCAAAGTTATTGTACGCATTTCCAAAGGGGGGACAGTTCACATTTGCGACTTTTGGGCCTTTGATGCAGAGTTCGCATTTGCGACCTCTGTTTCGCATTTGCGATGTTCGGAATTGAGACATGAGTTCGCAATTGCAACATCCGCAGCCGCGTGAGGAGGGGAAAATCGGGACTTAACTTATTTTACACCATTTCTCAACCCCAAACACTTTAGAGGTAAATTTTTGAGAGACTTTTCTTCCCAAAATCATTGGTAAGTAACTTTAATCTATTTCCTTTCATTGGTAATTTTTCATAGTAAAAATTAGGGATTTTGGTTAGAAATTGGGGATTTTATAAAATTGAGATTTAGACCTCCAATCGAGGTCGAATTTTGAAATAAATCACTTAACTGGGCTCGGGGTGAAAGGGTAATTGGATTTTGGTCTGAATCTCGGGTTTTGATCAAGTGGTCTTGGGAGTTGACTTTTGTTGACTTTTTTCAAACTCATTAAAAATTGAATCTTTTTCACTCGTGGATAGCTTCTAAAGCCTATTTTGAATTATTTGAACTATAGTTGGCTAGATTTGATTTATTTGGAGGCTAACTCTAAAGGAAAAGTCGCGGTTGTGTATTGATTTGATTGCGAGATGAGGTAAGTATCGTGATTAACTTTGACTTGAGAGATTAGGACTTGTTAGTCTATTTTCTATGTGAATTATGTGTGGGGACGACGTATATGTAAGGTGACGAATATAGATACATTGTTGTTGAGTTAAAGCATGCGGGCGAAAATTATTTTATTGCATTGTGTTGTTTCAATGACTATGCTTTCCATGCCGTAGTTAGATTATTACTTCTTTAATTGTTCGTTTTTTATATCTATTAATTATTTTGAAGTTGTTGGGATTCTGAAAGTTGAGATGAACTACCATTGCACTATGATTGAAGTGAAATAGATTTTCACCTTGTTTTGTTGTTTTAGATTGATGTTGTTGCTTGTTGAGGAAGAGTGAAAAGCACCAAGGGTGCTACCGTGACTTATTTGCATAAAATATCGTTTATTTGAGAGATTGTGAGCATTAAAGCACGAAGGGTGATGCCGTACATTTGATTACTTATTATCATTTGTCATATCATGTGAGGTTGAGAGCAAAGCACGAAGGGTGATGCCGTGCCATTTCATTTATGATATTACATGGTGAGGACAAGAGTAAAAGCACGAAGGATGATGCCGTGCCTTGTTTATTTTATTGCTTTGCTTGGTTTCCGGATTGATGATTTAATTGGTTGCATTATTATTGTTTTTCGGAAAAAGATTATTCGGTGATTTTGTACTTGCGGTTTTTATCGTACTCCCCGTTATACATGTCCCCTCCCAGTTAAAATATTAATTGTCCTACTTGTTATTTTTATTTATTTATGTATATACATGTTCAGGATTTACGTAAGTATCTTGCCATAGCATCGTCGTTACCTTGTATGGGTTAAGCTCGACACTTACGGAGTATATTGGGTCATTTGTACTCATGCTACACTTCTGCACTTCCTGTGCAGATACTGTGTTGGTCCCAGCGGCGTCCAGTGGTGTTTCTGCTCGGATTCAGCAGTACTGAAGACTTGAGGTATAGTTGCACGGCGTTCGCAGTCCTGAAGTCCCCTTCTTTATCTAGTTTACTGTTTATTTAGTTTCAAACAGTTGCATTTTGTTTTAGACCGTATATGTGGTATTCTAGCTGCTCATGTACTTGTGACTCCCGATTTCTGAAAGTAGTTAGCATCGCGTTATTTCTATTAATACTGTGTTAAATTCTGAGTTTATTTATCGTTAGTTATCATCACTCTATAATAATTGTTAAATACTGATTAATTAATTTAATAACGTCGGCTTGCCTGGCAAGTAGATGTTAGGCACCATGTCGGTCCCGAGGTTGGAAAATACGGTTCGTGACAAACACAAACGACACGGATCATGCATGCAAGTAATAAATCATCAAATAAAGCTACGAGAGGTCTCGGAACGCACAAAAGAAAACTAATTATCAAAACGACCGGTAGGATTGTTACAATTTGATACCGGGTGAAAAATCAAAATAACAACGGGTCATGCAGGTCGTGGACGTGACTTTTGCGTTATTAGCACGTAACTTTGCCAACTTAAAATAGGCCTTGGTTCGACCTGTAGTTAAATAAACCTTATAAATTGCTAAAAGTATTTGAATTTACACATATCTTACGCAACAGACATAGCAATTTAGTATTAGAAGTCCAAAAATAGCATTTGATCTAGTTCATGAATCTTCAAGCTTAAAAAAATTCCTAATAAGAGCTAGATAAATGTGTGAAGATAATCCTAATTCTCAGCTCGGTTTGTCAAATGAGCAACTTGCTTCAAGATTATTGGGCAGTTCACAACCCGGTTAATGATGTTACAAAAGTTCGAGTTGATTTAATTTGTCACTCGGACACAAACCAAAAAATTACAGCAATGGTCATTGAAATGAACATGTTTGAGTCAAAACAATAATTCTATGCACTTCTTTTTAAGCTTGAATTAAAGCTCTATCAAAAAAGCATTCTATTTTAAAAAGGCTTAGGACTAGGCTATACCTCCGTCAAAGTCACGAAGTCTCACCGCTCTTATTCGAAGAACTAGTGATATTTCCTGAATGGCAGATTCAATAGTATCGATTATGAGCTCCAAAAACTAATCTCTCATTCCCACCGTCAAAAGACTTTAATAACTATACTCCCTCCGGTTTAAAATAAGTGATTTTTTTGGATGTTTTCACACAGATTAAGAAATTCACCTTTTAGCATTAATTAGCAATTGAATTGACCATATTAACCTTTACTATCTCACATAAACACTCCTAACACATATTCCAACACTATTTACTCCAAGGACAATGTAGGAAAAAAATAATTAATTCATTCTTGAAATCTGGAAAAATCACTTATTTTGGACCACAAGAAAAAAGCCAAAAAATCACTTATTTTGGACCTGAGGGAGTAGCATATAAGGAACCGAGAGTTAAGACGGTTAGACCTATGAAAAAACTCCCAGCATTTAAGCTTATGGTTCCATTCTTAGTGCCCGTTTGGACATAAAATTTGATGGAATTTTTCCAAAAAAATTTTACTTTTTTTCAAAATCAACGCTTGTTCATAAAATTTCCAATTTTCACTTGAATATGTATTTTGGAACTTTCCGAAAATTTGAAAAACTGCAAAAAGCTGTTTTTCAAAATTTTCATTCAAATCACTCACAAAACTTCAAAAACAACCCAAACTGAAATTTATGTCCAAACACAACTCTAAATTTCAAATACTATTTTCACTTGAAAAAAATTTTCACCATATTTTTGAATTTTACAATTCTTATGTCCAAACGCCTACTTAGTGTTGTTGCACATAGGCATCCCTCTCCTCCATGTGGAACGATATATGCTCAAAACTAGGCGTATATAATGAATCAAAACTAGAAGCAAAATAACCACACGCCACAACATTTAGCACTTAATGTCTTACAAATCCCAATTTTAAGGTACATCATTTCCTTTACAAAACCAAACACTATACATGACATAACAGCAAAATATTAAGGAATAGAAACCGGAAGAAGAAAGAAAAAATGAAACATAATTTTTTAATGTACATCATTTCCTTTACTTAATATTTTTAGATTATTTAATTATTTGTGCACATAAACAGAAACATTCTGTATACTAAGATTAATATAACTAAAATTAAAACCTGATCAGATAGGGTAATTCTCTTTTCTGTTTTATAGACGTCATCATTCAAATTAGTGAATGACCACTTGAGCTCCAACGATAATAATGCTTGATCTATGTGAAGATTTGGTTTCAATGCTACTTCTCCATCTGCTGACCTGAATTTCCCATCACTCCATTCCTATTACAAGGAACAATTTCAGTTTAATCATATCAGCCTTTCCACATAACATTGCATTCTTTCTTTTACAAATTGATTTTCAGAAATTGCTTTTCAGTCATTGTTTGATCTTAGTTCATGCTAAGCTTCATTTAACTGAGTAACATCAAACGATGCTCGTAAGAACATTTTTCTCTTTTTCCTTTTTTTTTTTTTTTTTAGGGGGGGGGGGGGGGGGGGGTATGGGGGGGTTTAATTGCCAATGCCAAACTTTGTAAGTTGTAATATTCTCAGTCTTTACTCCCCTCTAGTCCATATTATCTGACGTTTAAGGTCTTTGCCCTTTAACGTAACAAAGATATTTAATTGCTTTAATCATTTGAATAGTTGTCTATAGTATCCTTTATGTTTTCTTTAATAATCGTACTTAGCTAACACTCCACTATTAAAATAATAATAAGAAACTAATATACATATTTTCTAAAACATCTAATATTTTGCAACAAATTCAGTTTGCCAAGTGAGTAATAATTGAGACTGAATTTGGAAGTAATTTTCTAAATTTTCTTTAAGAAAAAAGTTATCTGTAAAAATAATTCATTCTGATTGATGATTACGGGCAAAAATCAATCACTCAAAATTAAACCACAATGTCACTGAGTTTGAATTTTAGTGGGCTCCTAATTAGTTAATAGAAGAAGAATTAACCTAAATAGTCGCTCACCCAACCGATTAAACTAAAAATAGCCAGTATAATATTCATATATATATGTATATATATAAAATTAATTGTGCATAATTAATGTATAATCTATGTATACCGACAAAAAAAGTAAATAATGAATTTGTCCGGCTATCTGTGTAAAGATCCAATTAATCTGAATTGCAATCAAGCGAGAGCTGCGATATTCCTAATTAAAGGGACAGTGAAAGTATCCAAATGTTAAAATCATTATTATTCTTAGCTAGAAACTATATGGGGAAAATGGCATCAAGAGTGTATTAATGTTTGTCTATAAATAAATATATATATAGTTATATGAGGAAATATTATAAATACCTCAAGTTGATGTCCAATAGTGACAATGATTGTGTCTGGGCTCGTGATAAACGGCAATCGACCACGTTTTGAATGCACAGAGAATTCAAGTGGTTCTAGTGGGAGATAAAGGTTCAAAGCATACTTAAATGAATCTTCAAGTGTTGCATTGTGGGGTGGAAGCCATGTTTGGTCCATGCTACTCGATTGGTTCTTTGTGCATCTGTATATGTACATCTTTACTTCTTCTGCTTCAATTTTCTTCCAAGATTCATCACTGTTACTCAATCTGATTATTTCATCCACTTCTTTTGCTATTCCTTTTAGTTTCTTCAATACCTCTTCCAACTGTTGCCTGCACCAAAATTAAATATATCATTATCAATCTTCTTCTTTTTTTTAAATCAAATAAAGAAAAAGAAAAACAGAATATAAAGTTGTTTAAGTGTAACAAGAATAATAAATACTTTTTTTATAAACTTTACTTCTTTTTAGTTAATCATCCAGAATTCGAAACTTATTGGTTGATGAAAACGGATTCATGTCGGCTAAATCCAAGGTGCTCTGTATTATAAGAAGTTCTTCATTCTCTAAACTCAAACCCGAAACATTGATTAAGAATGAAAGGATTCTAACTAGAATTGCAATTTTATTGGTTAGGCTACGGCCCAAGTAAAAGTTCAACTGTTTGGAGCGCATAGTCAGCGGGAGAAATTCAAAAGTAGCCATATTTGCAAGTGGTCATTCAAAAATAGTCACAGTATCAAAAATAATTGAAATTTAGCCACTTTTCATGTAAAGATAGATCTGAACGAAAACACTGTTCAAAATACGGAAAAATACTCCAGTATAATATACTGGAGTTCCAGTATAATATACCAGCCCAACATAATATGCTGGAAGTACATACACGGGTGCACCGATCTCCAGTATATTATTTTGGAACTTTCCGGATTGCAGCAAAAAGAATGACTATTTTTCAATGACTTTGCAAACGCTGGCTATTTCTGAATGACCAGTCCGAAAACTGGCTAGCCCGTGCTATTTTTACCAGTCAGCGGGCATTTACCCATCCGAAGCTGATGTAACTATGCGTCTTGGGCCTTAGTAGTGCAGGCCTTAGTTTCAATTGTTTGTAATCCTTCTTTCAAAATGGCCCACCGATTTTTGAGGAAATTAGGCGCATTGCTTATTCAATTCAAAATAATTACCAGTTTTTCAAAAGAGATACCAAAAATACCTATCTCACCAAAATTATTTACTCGCTCACCCATCTCTACCTAAGAGATATCTGCACCAAAATTCTTCCTGTTTATTCGCTGGCCGATAACTTCTAAGCTTCTCCTCCTTCAATAATATGCATTTGAATCCATGTGGGGTGTTTGTGGAGAAGATCGCAGAGCTATGGTGGTTCGATTTAAGGGAGCACTAATAAATTCTTAGGTGTTATTAGTGGTTTTGGACGGCAGGGACTGGTATTGCATGGGGAGGGGGTTCAGGAATGAGGAATGGGGTGTTGTTAGTCGTTTAAATCCACCATCAAAGGATGTTGAAGCTTGAAACTTAGAAATTGGATTTGTTGAGTGTGTAGTTATTTCGGTTCGATTTTGACTAGAGTATGTTTAAAATATTGATTGGAGGTTGTGGCCAAATACTGATTGTGAAAAAAAATAAATTTTTTTTATGTCCAAACGGGCTCGAAGTCTGACTGACAACTAAGGACTTACTCCTAAGTAGGGAAGAGTCCGAATAAGCAAAGTCACCTTAAGGTGATGGTTCAGGAAAAAAGAAAGATTATAGTTACCAGAAACAAGACGGATGATGTATCATTAGTAACCTTCATGAAGAGGTGGGTACTTGTTTGACTCAAAAGTTATTTACACACCTTATGAGTATAAAACAATATAAATAAATCACGGGAAAATCATAGCAAACCGTAATAATCCGTTGGACCAAATGAAGGAAACGAAAATAAGTACTCAGGATTAGGGGGAGAAACATTAGAAGCCTTTATTGATAATATTGGTTTGGTCTGCCTCTCCATGAAGAGGTTCAGAGCCTTACAATGGTGTTCCTCTTGCCCATAATTTGGGTATCGTTCCCTTTTTTCTCTCTCCATAGTGGTCAAGAAGCACCCCCCCCNCCCCAACTTTTTAGGTTTCTCTCTTGGTATTTATAGCTGTGAGCTTCGTGAGCTGGCAATAAGTGGCCGTGACCATGTTGGGATTTCGCCTTCATGGTGGCGAATAGGCCATGGCCTTGCTGATCGAATCAGATGCGGGTTGAATATCGTTAATTCTGATTGATCGTGCCACTAATTAATCGTGAATTAGCTTAAGACGGGATTAACTTCGTTAATTATCGTGGGGTCGGATTATGACCCATACAGTACTACCATGAAGTGCTTATATGGATTTACAAGCTAATGATTATTAGGTGTTTGTCCTTATTTTCTAATCATGTTTGATTTTCCTCTCTATTGAAAGAAGGATAACATATTTACCATAATTATTTTTTCCTTTTACAAAAAAGGAAAAAATAATTCTTCCGTATTTAGCTACTTCTTTTTTTTAGAGGAAAATATTTTAGAAATTCTATAAATTGAGAATATTTCCTTCTCGTTCAGGAACATCCACAATATATAAGGCGTTATGTGATGTTGTCAATCAAATTTAAGGTCTTTAAATCTAGTTTCTAACAATTCAAACGGTTTATTATTTGGACGTTCCTACAAAAAATTATGACCGTTTTACCAAATGCGAAAGAGCAGTACCATGCGTGCGATGGCCATGCACGCACAACCATCGCATGGGACATTTAGTGAGTTTAAAGAGCAGTTTTGGACACCATTAGCCATTATCTTTAAAGTGACTAGGTTTGGGACTTCCAAGAGGCGATTTTGAGCTCCAAATCAAGTCTACTATCCAGGTATGTTCTAAATGATGATTTGAGTTAATTTTACTCAACGTACATAAATTCTATCATCATTCTTGCATATAAATACTAGATTTCATCATCAAATCTTCAAGAACTCAAAAATCATTAAAGTTATAATTTTTCAAGAGTGGTCTATAAGAAGTAATTTTTATGCTCCAAACTCATTTACTATGAGTAGTTAGAAGTATTTGTAGCATTTATTAAAAGTTGTAATGATTAAAAAATTGAATTTTAAAAACCTACTTCATGGTGTAAATAGTGTTCTTGGAAAAAAGAGGGAGAAGGGGAATAGTATTCTTGTAAATAAATTTGATTCATGCAATTAACCTATTAAATTATTTGTTAGTTAAATTGAAAGTCAAAAACCGAAGTACTTGCCTGAATTAAATATTTTTAAAATGTTGATTAAAGAAAATAATGAATAGTATCTTGCTGCCATTGTGTAATTAATGTAGTATCATTAATAAATCCAATAAATTACTAAGTGATAACAATGAAATTAAATAAGCTACTCAGTGAACCTACTGGACGATTCAAGTTGTAGAAGGCTTGTTACTAACTTGTGAATCTTAAATATATATTAATAAATATTTTGTGTTAGGTTTTGATGTATTTGTGATTCTAGTTGTAGATATCGACAAGCGGGTGAACAGTGGCAGATTCAGAATTTTAAAGTCATGAGTGCTGATTGATAAAAATTCAAAAGAAGAAAAAAAATGAGTTTAATTGTGGGTGCTCACTCATTATTTATGTACATATTTTTATAATTGCCTATGCAAATTTACTACAAATGGTCAAAGGTAATGGGTGCTTAAGCACCCACCAATGCCAATGTGGGTCCGCCACTGCTGGTGATGATTGAGAATTTTAATCAAAGTTACAACGTCGAAAGAGAATTGTGGGCAAAAATTGATAAAGCGAAAGTGAACTATGTTGATAAAGACTTACTTTTCTTGAGTGTTTTTCTCTAAAAGGATATTTCTAGTCAATATGTGAGATTGTTTGTAAATGTGCATCCGCTCTTATGGGAACAAACGGGGAATAACGTCGCCATGTGTTTTTAAATTGTGTTGCATATGCATTATCATGTGATTTTATTAAAAAAAAAAATCTTATTTTCAAAAACTTGTTGGTAAAATGATTTGAGGCAAGTAATATAACTTTTTTTAAACTCAATATATATATATATATATATATATATATATATATATATATATATATATATATATATATATATATTGAATGCTAAAGATATATTTTTATGAAAAAATATTTCTTTTTGACACTTAATAAGTGGTATACCACCTTCTGTATCTTTAAAACATTGATGTTAATTGCTAATGGTTTTTTACATGAAAAATATTATTCATTTGATTTTGTTAAATGGTTTAGATTGACTAAGGACATCATAATTTGATAAAAGAATAGATCCTATGAGGCTATTAGACTATGAATTTATTTTTTATATGTTAAATATTTGGATGTTACTAGTGGAGACTATCAATATTGATTCTAATATTGAACTCGTTACCATGGAACTACACTGCCAGTGTAGGGACGTATTTCATGTAAGCTGAGATTTATGGGATAAAGTCCCCTATCGTGAGGGAAGATTATTATTGCTTAAATTAATAAGGTTAAGCCGACTCGTACGGTGTTAAGAAGCCCCCTGAACAAGTATGGTCAAATATTGTTGCTAGGTTGATCACCTAGTAGTTATTTATTATGTCGGCGTTAGTATAGTGCTCCTGGTAAAAGGTAAAAGAGAATTTTCTTATGTTTAAACCTAAGAAGCCGAAAATGATTTTAATGACTTAATAAAATTGAAATGATTTTGTATGATCTTTATTAAAATTATGGATTGATAATAATATTTTAAAAGTTATATCATGGTTTATATTTCACTTTTCATTGAAAATGCTAAAGATCATGATTGATATAACTGATTATCGCTTTATATTAATTACTAGTTGCATTTTTTATAAAGCCTTATCTTAGGAACTTGAGTTAGAGAGTGTCTATGACACTTATTGAGTACTATGACGGTGTACTCAGTTCAGGTGAGCCCCCTCCAAGGTCCCACCTACTTTATATATTTCAGGATAAGGTGTAGTGCGTGCAGTAGGCCTGGTTAGGATGACTTTCTTCCTGAGATATATGTTGAGGCACCCGTTCTATTTCATGGTAGCTATCATGTTATTCTTATTTTCTTTAGTCGGAAATTGCCCCAAGTGCTTATTTCTATTCTCTGATACAAATGTTCTATAGATAGTTATGATGGATTGTACGTGACAAACATAAAATTTATTTATTTTATTTAATTTTATTATTAGTATAAAGGCTTCATGTGTAATTTTGAATTGAAAATGTTTCATTATTTAACATGAAAATATATATGGTTTCAAAGAACTTTCGCAGTTAGATTGATTTTAATGTATATGATTGAACTGCACCATATGATTTGGTTCACTCGAATCAAATAGTGTGCCGAATGTCGATCACGTGGATTTGAATCATGACAGGTATAATGGTCCAACTTTCACGCGTCAGAGACTAAAAACAGATTTAAATCCAAATAATAAAAGAAAAACACAAGAAAATTAATATATGTTGTAGAGCTTACCGGAAAAATAGAAAATTTTGCTCCCCTATGGCAACCTTGGCCTTTTGTACCATCGTGTTATCAGACCAATCCCAAACGAACTTATCATAATTAGCATATTTTTCTCTTGATAATCTAAACAACCATTCATTCTCAGTCAGCATTGTTCTTAACTCTTCACCAGATATGCCGTGACCAATAATCCTCACCACTCCGAATTCAGCAGCAGAGCTCAACAACCTATTCATTGCATCATTTTCCCTCAGCAAAAGTGACGGATAATGGATTTCATCAGGCACCCAACGATGTGTATTTTTCGGGAGAGTCAAGTGAGGAACGTGGATTGATTGGTCAATGTACTCTCCCAAGATTGAGTCGACAGCCGAACGTGACCCTCTGCCTGTGGGAATCGGAGAAGGTGGTGGTGCTACGGACGAGGACAAACGTTTTCTCATGATCGTCAACGATGATCGCTGGGAATTAATGAAGTTGGATCGACGATCAACTGTTTGATGAAATGCGAAATAGAGAAAAAGAAAAGTAAAGGATTGAGAAAAATTTTGTTTGATTTGAATGGAGTACAACTTTAGTTTGGTGCATAATGGGACCTTGGTGGCGGGGTGCACATCTAAAGAGTAGTAGTAAGCACGTCTTCCTTTTTCACATTGTAGCGTTAACTGTCAAAGTCACACCCCCTTCACTAATTAGCTCTTTTCCCCCTTTGTATCGAATTTATTTAATGTTAATGTTTAGTTAATGTTCAATTGAATCTGCTTCCAGCACAATATTCAGATATGCAGATATGAGTAAGTTTTTTATATGAGTGTCACTTACCTGCCTTAGTATTGTAAGGGTGGTCTCATAATTAAAGTAAGTCATTTTACTTTAAAGTAATAATATATAGTGGATCCCTATCTATTGACCAGAAAATAAAATTAAAAATCTAAAACAAACTCTCAAAGTAGCAACAACCAAATGAACAACTGAAAAGAGGAAAATGAAAAAGAAGAATAGAGTGAGGTTCCAGATGCTCCAACAAGAGCTAAGCCAAAATAAAGAAAAGACTTCCATGAGCTGATAGTTATAGTAACTATAATTCCTCTGGTCGGATAATTCCTTGACACATGTACCTTAACCTGGATCCCAATATTAGTCCAATAACCTCTTATTGGGTTGTTTCACATTCTAACCCGTGCGTAACTCCTTCCCAGGCCCAAGTACTTCGTTGTGGTTTACCCCGTTTGTAACATAATAGTCCCCTTTTTTTGCCTTATGCAAGTAGACATCTTCAAGAAACTAAAATGAGATATCTTATTTCAAAACAAGTTGGATTCCCTAGCAGAAATAGGGATAAATAGACGTTAAGTCATGAATAAAATGTGAGGCTGAAACAGGTGAAATATAAGGGTATTACTTGAATGCTATTGCAAGTATATGCGATGAAATAATCAAAAGAGACAAAGAGCTACATTTTTTTTAGAGGATTGAATATTGTTCTTATCATAATGCATGATTACTTAATGGGAATATTCATCGAAAATACTAACTTGATTCATTGTTGTCGAGATAATGGTCTCTACTACTCTCACCCTACACTCCTTTACTTTCAAAATGTCTTATTTTAGTTACGTTAGGATTGTCACATAATTAATGGGATACTATTTTATGTGATACACATGATAAAAGGTTTCAGTTTGAGAGTTGTCTAGAATCACGCAAACTGTAGTAGGACCTAGCACAAATATTTGAACAAAATGTCCCACAAGAATTGCAAGATGTGAAGGCCATAAGTTATGAATTATGATTATTTCAATATTTGTTGTAATTTCTCGTAGTATCTGCATATGCTAATAAATACAAAGAAATATATAAATCAACAAATTAAAGTGAAAATGCATACCAATTAATTATAATTAAGTATTGAAAACTATATATACAAAACATATGTCTTATATTTGTTGGCTTGGTGTAAACAGCCAGTGCAGGTATATTTTTACCTATATACAATATACTAATATTAATACCTACGCGATGCGTGGTTAATATTAAAGAAAATAATAATAAAATATTATTTTATTTGTTTGAGCACATTAAATCTAATTGTTTTAACAAAATTTCAACTATTAATATTTCTCTATGCAATGTATCCAAAAAAAATATGAAATTAAAATAAATCATATCGTCGGTGATTAGCTCTTGTATGATAAAACAATACAATAATTAATTTTTAGTACTATTTCATTACTAATATGACTTAATTAGCTCATCACTTGGCTAAATATCTTTGTCCACTATTTTTCTTTTTCTTTTTCTATTTAATATCTGATCCATATCACGACCCAAAATCACCACCGGTTGTGATGGAGCCTAATCCACCTGATAGGCAAGTCAGTCATGAAATATTAACGAACATGATAACGAATTACAGAAAAGATAAGTCTGAAAGACAAATAACCATTGATAATATCAAATCATAATACAACTCCCTAGAACTGGTAACACTGAATCATAAGCTCTACAACATGAATACAAGTCTGAAATACAAATATATTGTCTGAAACAACAACAATAATTAACATAGGAAGAGACACCAGGAACTGCGATCAGGGAGTAGCTCTACCTCGGTCTCTAAAGCACATCGAATAGCTCCACTCACAAAACTAGACTGGATCCAACACCTGAATCTGCACAATTAAGTGTAAAGTGTAGTATGAGTACAACAGACCTCATATACTCCGTAAGTATCATGACTAACCTCGGCAAGGTAGTAGTGGCAAAAAGTACCAATGATACTCACTTAACAACCTACTCAGATCATAGATATACAAGTACACAATAATGGTACCAAAACTAAGCATGAAAATACAGGTATAACCTACTTGATGCACATAGAGACGATGTGCGCAAGTCTTATAATAGTTTAACAACTCGGCATATAAAGAAGATATGCATTTATCACCAAAGGATCATCAATATGAACATCAATATATAGAGAAGATATGCATTAAGAATCAAGTGAATATGCACAGGTTAATATACAGAGAAGATATGTACCATGCCCTCACTTTTCTGTCAAAACAGCATATATAGAAGATATGCATAAAGATGCATGTATACATTCCAAAACTAGCATATAGAGAAGATATGCGATAAAATCATGTATATACCCAAGGTGTTTGCAAATAGAGAAGAGATGCAATGACCAAACACTAATCAGTTTTTCTCATATCGCGTGTACGTCATCAAGAGAGAAACATGAGAGGACAACCCTAGGAGGATGGATCCTTATCCACATACTGCACGGACAACTCACGTGCCATCATATAACAACCACACAGGTCACTCATGTGCTACTATAACTCAAACCGCAGAGACCATTCATGCGCTACCAATCCAGTCCATATCACACAGCAAGGAGCATAGTATTCAATACGAGGGATAACATAGCCTAAGAACTATCCGACATGGACAAAAACTCGATGGACGCACACATGCTCATCTCCTGTATGTGCATCACCCTTAGCACGTAGCAATCATCAACAATTCAAGCAACTAGTGCCTCAAATCAAGGCTAGGCAAGATACTTGCCTCAAACAAGCCAAATCAATACTCCAAAAATATCTTCTGTTACAAATCAGCCTCCGAACGGCTCGAATCTAGCCAAAAATAACTCAATAACATCGAATAAAGCTATAGGAATCAATTCCAAATATTAAAGCTTGAATCTTCATTCAATATCTAAAAAGTCAACAAAAGTCAACCTAAGCCCACTTGGTCAAAACTCGGGTCAATGAATAGATCCCGACCATCCATAACCCCATGAGTCCAAATATGTGATTAGATTCCAAAACGTAGTCCAAATCCACCTTCAAATTACTCTCTTAAGTTGTAGGCTAAAACCACAATTTTCCTCTTTCAAATACATGTTCCAAGTGCACAAATCTATAAGGAATTGACCGTGGATGATTGGGTCGCGTGGTTATGTGTATTTGCTGTTATCGGCACGTTGGTGGGTTAGTTATGACCGAGGAAGAGAACATCTGGGGTAATTCGAGCAAGGATTTGATGGATATGTGCTACAGTTCACCTTACCGATTCATGTGACGGTCGTGGAAGGACTCAAATTTTATACTTCTTATGAATACGATCCACAAGGGAGATGATTCATTCAGTTGCTTCTTTGAAGTATTTGAATGCTAATGTAGCACCAGTTGTTTGTTTTTATATATTCGGGACTATCTTAGAGGAGACGACTCTCGACAAGGGTTCTTGTGGGTCCAAGATTTAAAGTGTGGTGCCTAAGGATTTTTGGGTTCGTTGTATAGCCAAGTATTGACTATTGTAGCGGATTGTGATAGAGACTTGGAGTATCTCTATGTTACTAATAAGTAGGGATTTTAACCTATTATTTGCTCTCCTTTTACTTGTGATTTAGGCCAAAAATGTTTGAAGGTATTCCCGAAAACTAATGAAATACGCTTGCCTGCAGGAATTGTTCAAAATGAGCCAAAGGAGTCAAAACCAACTCACAAAGGAGTTAAAAGTTGAACAAAACAAAGACTGGACAAAGAATCCTGAAACACAGATCGCACCAATATTGTGCGACCGGGAAAGCCATAGTGCGGCCGCGATCATAATTACGCGGACCGCGATGATTGAGATTCATAGAGCTAGCAACTTGAACAAAAGAGAATAGCGCAGACCGCACCAGAATTGTGCTGTAACGACCCGACCGGTCATTTCGAGATTTTGCACTTCGATCGCCAGTTCTCAGGCATACCTTGCCCCGTGTTATGTATTATGACTAATGTAGATCGTTGGTTTTAGTTTTTAGGAAAATTTGGAATGAATTTGAAAGAACAGTTTCAGTTGAAAGCTTGGAATTTGAAAGGTTTGACCAAGAGTTGACGTATTGGTATACGAGCTCGGATCGGACTTTTTATGATTTGGTTAGCTTCGCTGGGTGATTTATGACTTAGGAGCGTGATCGGAATTGGTTTTGGAAGTCCGATGTAAAATTAGGCTTGAATTGGCGAAGTTAGTATTTTGGCGATTTCCGGTTGATAGGTGAGATTTTGATCCGGGAGTTGGAATGGAATTCCGAGAGTTGTTGTAGCTTCGTTATGCAATTTTTGATGTGTGCGCAAAATTTCAGGTCATTCGGACGTCGTTTGGTTGGGTTTTTGATCGAATGCGTGTTTCGGAAGTTTTTGGAAAACTTAGGCTTGAATCCGATGTGTTTTGAATAATTTGATGTTGTTGGAGGTGTTTTGATGATTGGAACAAGTTTGAATGAGGTTTTGGAATATGTTGGTGCTTTTGGTTGAGGTCCCGATGGCCTCGAGTGAGTTTCGAAGGGTCGATCGGACCATTGTTGGTATTTTGAAGTTGCAAATTTTCTGAAGTTTCTGTTGCAGACTTTTGGCCTTCGCGTTCGCGAGAAGGCTCTCGCGTTCGCGAAGGGATGCATGAGGAGGCTATGGATTTTGCCTTCGCATTCGCGATGTTGGTCCCGCATCCGCGAAGGGGTGAGGTCCTGAGTGTTTCGCGAACGCGATGTATTTCCCGCGTTCGCGTAGTGTAAATAGAGCAGCTGGGGTCCTGGCCCTTTTGTGTTTCGCGTTCGCTATATAGTTGTCGCATTCGCGATGGTATGGCAAGTGGAAGCTACGCGTTCGCGTA